TACAGGAGACGGTTAAAAGAGGACTTAGGTCATTTCATGAAAACTACATTCTTGGTCTTGATCTCTCTAAATGCGTCTGTCCATATTGGATTTTTTTACATTCCAGTTCTATTTTACCTTTTTCAAAGCAATACTCTTATTTTTCCCCATCACAGATCTGACCATGCATTTGTCAGCTGACCTGAGATGTTAGCAATATTTATGTTAACAAAGGGCACCAGAGACCCTTGCTGCCCTCAGAAGATTTGTTGTCTCTAAATCTCAACTATGCTGTGCTCAAATATGAACATATTTACTGCAAATGTTCTTTAACGTGTCAGTTTCTAAAAGCGGCATACAAGGTTATAAAGCCTTCAGTTGTTCTGAAAAATAAATGAAAGAACAGAAGCAGGTAATCTTTGACACATGTCGCAGTAAAATGATATGTATGCCCCAGTGTCACAGCAGAATTTTAATCTCCTAGAGTATTCTCTTAAGTGTACAGCACAGCTTAAAAAAGAATTCTGCAACATCCATAGTTTTATTCTTAAAAGTATTTTTTTAAATGTAGTCAAATAATTCATGCACTTATTATGCATAAAGATGGAATATTTATTTGGAAAGACACTAGTTTTATGAACATAGATACTAACCCTTGGATTATGCAGCATCAAGTTGCTACACAGACAAACATAATGTATAATGACTGGAGATGTCACAGTTTTCAGCAGCATTTATGAATTTGGTGATATGATTCATGATAGTGAATGTCTTCACAAGCAAAGCAGATGAAATGAAAACTTGTACATGATCTTTAGCTTACTTTAAGCCACCCCAGGTTCTACTGTGAAAAGTGATAAGGTTGAAGAACCAGTGCTAAATGAATAGAAGAACTACTGACAATCAAGAGTATAATAAGGGCTTCTGTTTTAGTTTTTTTCAGAGAAAAGTAAAACTGTTTTTTGCATTTTTCCTAAATCAGCATTACCAACACTGTGAACTGTATTCTTGTTCATGCTTAAAATAGACTTTTCCTTAAAGTTTTATAGCTTTATAGTCTGCTTTCAGTTATGTGGGGTTTTTTGTTTGTTTTGGTTTTTTGTGTTTTTACTACTACAACTAGTTTTTGAATTTTTCGTAACTTAGCTGTGATTCACTGTTGTCTTCCAAGTGCTTACTGCTAGGAATTAAATTCTGTCCTTTGTAGCATTACATGCCTTCAGAGTAACTTCTTGCTGATTTATATGAATTCTATATTCTGTGAAGTATCTTTCTTGCTGTCGTCACAACCTTCTTTCTGTCTTAAATAGACTCTGGAGCAGACGAAAGTGGGAAAGA